TTTTTTCTTCTCGATATAAGAAAGTAAGGTGAGGAAAAAGGAGTGAAGAGAGGATTCAAAAAGAGAAAGAAAGAAAAGATAGAGGAGGAGGTGGTGAACAATACCGGCCACTAATTTTTCTTCTTCTTCTTCTTTGTTTTCATGCATATTTGTGTTTTTACTGGTGAAAAGAAACACACGTCTCTGAATTTTGTCGACCGGTAAAACACAACTCTTTCTCTATGCTTTTACGGGTATGCTACCAACATATATATTTCCTAGTATGGACCTAGTTTGGCTTTTGTTAGAATGCTATGCCTGGTTGTCCCAATTTTTTTTTTTTTTCCGCAACCATCACTAATTTTTAATTTTTTAAAACTTTCTGATCACTGAAAAAGTGATTGAAATTTTGAGTATTTTCAATAATGGAAATTAGTATTACTTCTAGCTAGCTAGGTATACATACATAATTTAATTACTATATTGATTGATTAATAAATACATGATAATTACAAAGTAATAATTTTAAAAGGATAAATATAATATTTTTAGAGTTGATTTCTATCATTTGAGTATGCATGTGCATTAATTATATCTACACGTTGTAGCATAGTAGACATAGGAGTATATTTTATTATATGTTTTACAATAATTTACAATATCTTATTTAAAATTTTAATTTAGAAAGGGTATACGGATCCCAAAATTAAAGACAACTGCCCTTGTGCATCTAGTATGGTGTACTATACGTCCATATATATATATATATATATATATATATATATATATATATATATATGTGTGTGTGTGTGTGTGTGTGTGTGTGTGTGTGTGTGTGTGTGTGTGTGTGTGTGATCATAGGTTATTAATTACTATTTGGTCCATAGTTGACAATGCATATACCAACCCTAAACCGTAATATTACTCGTACTTCCATAATAAAAGTTTCACTTGATATTATGATCAATTAATTTTATTTTATTTTTCAAAAGGGGCGGAGAATTTCGAAAGAAATCAAGGAGATTTATGACTCAATAGTAACCTTTTGTGTTCTGGGAACTCCAATTGGGTCACTACCCTAAAGAACATGTACATCAGTACAAGTCTCAATGAGGACTGACGGAGTACAATCATCCCCTATCATCATGGTTGCAAAAATCGCGTCCGGTCGCGTCGAGGAACGTCAAAATTGACCTCCTCTGCGGCCGGGCGCCTAGGCGGCCGTACCCCGGTTTATTCTTTTATTTTTTTTATTTTTGGTGAATAACCCCTAAAAAAATAAAAAAAAATTTAAAAGAAATTAAAAATAAAAAATAAAAAATTGAGCGCGCTGAGCGCCTAGCGTCTTTTTCAACACTGCCTATCACATGTTCAGTGTCTCCTTAGTTAATTATGAAAATTAAATCATTTTATCATTTAAAATTTAAGCAACCACATATATCATGCGTATTAGACAATTTTAGTCACAAAGAATAACTAAATTATTTATGGCGCTACATTGTAATATAGTCAATAGCATTCAAAAAAAAATTAATTATTTATGGCGCTAAATAATCACTTTCAACAAAACTTGAAGGGTGAACATTTTTTCTAAGGGAGAACGGTAATTTTAGTCTCTCAATTATACTAGAATAATCAACTTAGTTCTTTTAATTATACATGTGATCCCATTTAGTTCCTAAATTGTTTGGGTGGTAGTCATTTTAATCTTTCACATCAAATAGTTGTTCAAATTAACGGTTATGGGAGTATAAATATGTAAACTCATCAGTTTCCTCCCAAAGCACACATCAAATAAGTAAAAAATAGATTTTAAGTCAAAAGCATCATGCATTAACTTTGTTTTATCTGTAAATTCATTTAAATACTCCTTAGCGAATAAAATTAATTGAAATTTCTAATTATACCAAATATATTATTTTTGCAAACTAGCACCAGTAATCCAATTGCACTTGATACACTACCAACAAAAAAGAAGCGGACAAGCAAGGAAGATGAAGACAATGACAAACTTATGCAAAAGAAAATTAACAAAACTTAGAGAATTGAAGGTGATTTGTTTGTATGCTTAAGGTGCGTGGTTTGTGTACTTAAGGTGCGCCATTTTAATGCTTAATGTGCGTTTTTTGTGTTAACCGCATAACCGCACGGGAAGCTATCTCTGCACTAGAACTCATCCCTATATATATATATATATATATATATATATATATATATATATACTTAAGGTGCGCCATTTTAATGCTTAATGTGCGTTTTTTGTGTTAACCGCATAACCGCACGGGAAGCTATCTCTGCACTAGAACTCATCCCTATATATATATATATATATATATATATATATATATATATATATATATATATATTTATTTATTTATTTATTTATTTATTTATTTATTTTTTTGGTCATTCAGATACTTGGGGTTATTAGTTGTTTTGGTTATTCAATATTGAAAATTATAAAATATACTCTCAACTTTATAAATTTGTGAAAGTTTTAGTCTTTCAACGAACCCAAAAAAAAAATGTTTAGGTTCATATACTTTCATGGGCATTTTATTATATTTGGATGAAATTTCTAAATTTGAAAGAAATAACCCTCACGGAATTTTGTTTAGTTTATCTGTTTATGTACTCATTGTTATATTGTGTATTTGTGTTGTTAGCTTTTCTATAAACCGGCACAGTCGTGATATCGTGGACAGCGGTGTACGTGCATTGCGGTCAAAATGGCGCCGTTTCTTCAAGTAAAGAAATGGCGCGCCGTTACTATTAACGGAGTGCACATTTTTTTATGTGTTAATTACCAACTGAAACTACAATGTATTTAAACTGAAACTACAGTGTATCTAAACCGACACTGCCTCACGTATTATTTTATATATTATCAAATGAAACTGCAGTTATATCAAAATGATATTGTAGTTGTGGTGAAATAAAACTGCAGTTTATATAAAATGAAACTGAATAACATTTCACATATTTTAGTGTATATTGTGCAATGAAACTGTAGTTATATCGAAATGATCATGTAGTTGTGTTTTAATGAAACTATAGTGTATATAAAATAAAATTAAATAACATTTTCACATATTTGAGTGTATAAATGTCGAATGAAACTGTAGTTGTGTTGAACTGAAACTGCAGTGTATACAAAATGAAACTGAATAACAGAGTTACTTTTTACAAAACGGTGCGAAACAGATGCCGTTTATTTTCATTAAACAAAACGACGTCGTTTTGAAGCTCGGTGTATAATTTACGAAATCGACAGTCGTTGGCCCACTGTACATGGTCTGGCAAGTTATATTGTGGACCGCGGTGCATAATGGATTATGAACCGAGCTTCTAAACGATGTCGTTTTGTTTAATGAAAAGAAACGACACCCGTGCCGTTTCGCATTGTTCCGCAAAGAGTAACTCTATTATTCAGTTTCATTTTGTATACACTGTAGTTTCATTTCAACACAACTACAATTTCATTTCGATATAACTACAGTTTCATTCGATATTTATAACAACACTCAAATATGTGAAACTGTTATTTTATTTTATTTTATATACAGTTATACACTATAGTTTCATTAAAACACAATTACATTATCATCTCGATATAACTACAGTTTCATTGCACAATATACACTCAAATATGTGAAATGTTATTCAGTTTCATTTTATATACACTGTAGTTTCATTTCAACACAACTACAGTTTCATTTCAATTCAATTGCAATTTCATTTGATAATATAAAAATAATATATGAGGCAGTGTCAATTTAGATACACTGTTGGTAGGATATATCCCGACCGACATGAGTTTGGCTTTCCTTGTTGTTTGTGCAGGATCTTTAGGTTGGGCGTTGTTCATCCAGAGCGGTCGGACTCGACCGCCAGACTTCCCGATCGATGTTTCTTCCCGGTCCTCATGCCTTCATTTCGTAAAGAGACAAAGACGATGAAGAGAGGCACGTGGCAATGCTATGCGTTGACAGAGAGGGTTCGCCGGGTGAAGACGCGTGGAGGCTACGTGGGTTACATGCCGGTAGGCCGGAAGTTTGTCTCCGGCCAAAGGCTATAAGTACCCACGGCGGCTACAGTAAGGGGGACTTTTGGACGATCAATAGGTTATTTACAGAGCTGCCCGACCGCAGTCAGTCGGCCCTCGTGATAACCATCTAGATTGTACTAGGACTCATTTTGATCAATAAAATCCCCTTCTATTATTATATTTGTCCTCATTCAGTACTTTGACCGCATAACGTGGGTATTTGTACTATCATTTTGGCGCCGTCTGTGGGGACCCGGTACGAAAAGCTATTGTAGACGAGTACCAGATCCCAATCATCAACATGTTCCCATTCATGTACCAAGCACCGGAGGATGAGGAAGCAAGTTCATCCGACCACAACTACACTCAACACCAGGGTCAGACAGTGGACCTCAATCTCAACCTTTCACCTCCACGATCGGCAGCTCCCAACCCGGTCAATTATATTCAACCGACATATCCAACGCCCGGTCAACAGTATCTATTCCCGGCGAGTTATCTATATGCAGTTCCACCTCCTTAATATGGTTGTTGGCCAGGGACACCAATGTATTATCCACCGGCGGGTGACTCGCCTTACATGCCTGCGTACACGACTCCAGCTTCCGCTCCCCCGAACCAACCGACCATGCCGACTGAGCCCGAGCTTCAGCCCGGTCCCCGGACTAGGCGCTCGGCTCGCTCGAGGTTGGGATCGCAGGGGGCCGAGGTCATGGAGGAACCACGGCAAGAAACCCTTGTTCAGGCGGATGAAGAGGCCGAGTTAGAAGCCAATCGAGCGAGTGCATTTGAGCGACTCCGACCAGCAATGAGGCAAAGATTGGGACCGCAGGATCCAAATAGGCGCTCGGTTGATTCTCCCATGCGAGCAGCCAATCAATCAGGGTCGTCAGGACATAGTGGGTCTCAAGCACATCGTCGCTGCCGGGCTCGGGAACCAGCCCGTACGGTCGAGCAAGACTAGACCCGAGGAATGTTAAACGACCTCCGCGCAGAATTCACTCGCTGGCAGAACGAGCATGCCTCAAGGCCTCCTCCCGATCATACCGCTTCATTATTGCGGACACCCTTCATGGTGGAGACCATGGCTCAACCTTACCCGCTTGATTTGCGAATCCCTGGAAACAAAGAATATGACAGCCGGACAGACCCGGAGGTCCACATCAACACTTACTATGACAATATGCTGATGATGGCCGTAACTGACTTTGTGATGTGCCGGGCTTTTTACTCGACGCTTTCCGGTCGGGCAGGTGAGTGGTTCAGAACATTGCAACCGGGGTCTATTTCTGATTTCGCTAGTTTGGCGACGAAGTTCACTCGGAAGTTTGTCACTTCCAAAGTTGTCCGGAAGCCTTACATGTACCTCGAGAAGGCTAAGCAGTTGGAAGGAGAAAGCTTGACTGATTTCTTAGTCAAGTGGAAGGCGACGGTCGGAGAGGTCGAGCCCATGGACGACCTAACAGCCATTCACATGCTACATATTTCTCTCCGAGCGGGTTATTTGTATCAGTATTTTATACTCCACCCGCCTACCACCTATGAGGAAGCGCTCCGAAGAGTGACGGATTATGCCAATGCTGGAGAAGCAAATGCCGTCAAACGCTCCCAAGAGGTCGGATCTTCCCGGAAAGCTTCCGGTCGGTCGGATAACAGGTCGGGCGAAGACCATCCCCGACCCCGAGCACGACCGGGAAATTTCACGGCGTTAAACCGATCGGCTGCAGAAGCCATGCAATATGCTCAGTCCTGCAACCTCATTCGTCTACCTCATCCGAGACCGGATGGGAAGGATAAGTCGAAACATTGTGCTTATCATCGGTGTGCTGGGCATGACACGGAGGAGTGTACACATTTGAAACAATTGTTGGAAGACTTGCTCCAGTTGGGGAAGTTGGATAAGTGTGTGGGGAAGCGAGAAGAGAACAAGAGACCATCCGAGAGGAAAGATCACAGACGCTCCAATCGCCCCGATCGATCAAACCAGGACCGGAGAGATCAAGACCGGCGAGATCCCGACCCCCCGTCTGGCAATCGGCAAACATCAAAGCCGACCATTCATGTTATATTCGGGGGCTTGGAAGATGCTTCCCAAGCTCGAAACCCTTGCCCGGTCGCGATCGTCGACTCCCGGGAAACCGGTAAGAGGCAGAAAATGGAGCCGATCACCTTCTCTCTCGAAGATCAACCCGAGAGCAGAGACACTTGGATGGAAGCGCTTGTTGTTACGATCGACATCATGAGAGTCGACGTACAAAGGGTGATGGTAGACACCGAGAGTAGTGTTAATGTCCTTTATTTGGACGTTTTCAAGAAGCTAAAACTTGACCGCCGGGAGCTGATTCCGGTCGGTGTACCCTTGTCGGGATTTACCGGGGCTACCATCCGCCTCGAAGGAAAAATCGTCCTCCCGGTCGAGCTAGGAACTCCGCCTAAGTCAGTCAAGACGGAGATGGAATTTGTGGTCGTGAATCTTCACTGCGTTCACAACGTGATCTTAGGCCGCCCGGCCATCAAGAAGGTCGGGGGAATTATATCTATGCCTCACATGTGCATGAAGTTTCCTACCCCGACTGGGGGTTGGAGTTCTACGCGGTAACATTCAGTCGGCCACAAAGTGCTATACACGAGCAGTTAATCGGCGAGACGCGGGTTCGTCCCGAGTAAACACAATCATCCGGGAGGCTGTTAAGGACCGGAAAGAACAACCAGAGCCATCCGAAGAGATAGAGGAGGTTCCCTTGTCGGAAGATCGGCCGGAGAGAAAGATAAAGATCGGTTGGGCCCTTACCCCTGAATTGCGATTGGAAGTGTTAGTGTTTTAATTGCTCAAAAAACCCCCAACTTATAATTGGCAATATTATTATGGCAAACTAAGATAGGATTAGCTTAGTGTCGGTTTTGTTCTACAGAGGACTGATCAATCAGATACAACAACAGAGGGACTGACACTGAAGATCTGTTTTAGGAAGCTGTTTCCAGAAAGGTTGTACGCGGTTTAAAGAAGACAAAATTAGAAAGAAGATCAGCGTATCTGTCATGTAAAGGTATGGACCGAATCTCTAAGATTACATTCTTCAAATATTGTCCTACCATCTACAATCAAAGATATCTATGGAGAGTGTTCTTACTATGGAACTATAAGTACTCTTATTCGACAAGAATTAGGGTTACGCTTTTAAGAAGGAAGAAACACTCCAAAACATTTTTATGAGATCAGATCTTTGATTATAATGCCTCTTCTCAATACAACATGTTCATGGTGATTATGATGAAGAACTTGAGAAGAATTATTGTTGCTTAAACGAAAGGACGCTACGATCACACTGTTGTGGGAATAACCGAGAAGAGCGTTATTGAAGTGGACTGCATCAGAGTTGGCTCTCCAAGTGAAGGGATTTCATTGGACTTCTGTATGCATGGCTCTCCATCTTCAACCATCCACTAAACCTGTGTAGACTTGGTACGTACCTTGTGTGGGACACTTGGGTGAGATTATTGTTTCTCTACCTTTGTACATTGGATTATGATTTAGTGGATTGGACGCTTATGTGATCGTCCCCCAGACGTAGATACACACTGTATCGAACTGGGTAAACATCTTGTGTGTTGCTTTGTGTCGTTATCTCTTTCTATAAACATCTCAATAATCTGCCTTACGGACTGACTTCATCGTTGAATCAGTCAGTCCATTTCATTAGTTGGATAATCCAGTTAATTTGATTAAAAATGAGGAAATGCAAAATTACATGTGGTATCAGAGCTTTTAAGTCTACATAGTGACTTGATCCGTACGGGAATTTTTTTTTTTGCATTGTTCTCTTTCTATTGGAAGTGCCTCTGTGTGTTTGTTGGCTGGTTGTTTTTGTTCAGGATGGATGCAAGTATGAAACCACCAGAACTAGATGGTCACAACTACTCTTTCTGGAAGGCTCGTATGGAGATCTATCTCCAAGCACAAGGTACCAGGGTTTATCGTACTGTCCTATCCGGGTGGATTCGCCCGACTATTCAGAATGCTGATGGAATCACTGGGGAAAAGCCCATGGAGACTTGGACAGACGATGAAATGAATCCCTCTGATCTGAACAATAAAGCGTTGAACTCTATTGTAGGATCCCTGCATGAATCTGTCTTTACCCTAGTCACAAGGGTAAAAGAAGCAAAAAGGGTATGGGAAATTATTGAAACTAGATTTGAGGGCACCAGTGATGCCAAGCAGTTGAAGCTACAAATGGTGCTGTCAGAATTTGAAGCTCTTAGAATGAACGAAGAGGAAACTATCTTAGTCTTTCACAGTCAGGTTCAGAATCTGATGAATCGAGCCTCAATTCTTGGTGAACCATTCACTGATGAGAGAGTAGTCAAAAAGATCCTTCGATCTTTGCCTAAACGCTTCCGGATGAAAGTAACTGCTATCCAGGAACACACAGGCTGGGAAAAGAAGACTGTAGGAGAACTTATGGGAAGTTTACACACATATGAACTTGAAGTGCTGGCTGATGATGACCTTGCTGTCAACAGAAAAGGCAAGTCAGTGGCTTCTGTGGCTGAAGCTGATCGAGAATCTGACACAGACGACATAGATGATGAAACCTTGGCCCTTCTAACCAAGAATTTTAAGAAAATATTGAAAGGATTTAACAAAAAGAGTCAAGGATAGTCTACCAGGACTCAATACAAAGGCAGCAACTCCTCATATCAGAAAGCAGAAACCTCACCTTTCCCACAGAACAATCAATCCCAAACTGGCCGAATAAGACAAAACAGAAACAGTTCCACAGATACAGGGAGATCCCTCAACCGGTCAGTGCAGTGTAGAGAGTGTGAAGGTTTTGGACACATACAGGCTGAATGTGCAACTTATCTCAAGAGGAAGAAGGCTATGTCTGTGGCTACGCTAAGTGATGATGAGGGGGAAGCATCTAATGATCAGTCAGATGACAATGTGGGAAACTTTGTAGCCTTCTTTGCAACTACAAAAAATCAGTCAGACGAAAACGAATCCGATGGAGAATCCTATATATCAACGGATGATTTTGAAGAGAGGCATACTCAACTTGAAATGGAATTTGCCAAACTTGTTGCAAGCTGGGAACAACTAGTGAAAGTCAATAAAAATCTTAATGACGAACTGAAGCAAAGGGATGATTTTCTGAAGAAACTAAATACAGATCTTTTCATAAAAGAAGATCTTATCACACAGATAAGATCTCGAGAAGGAAAACTGATAAAGGAATTGGAAGATCTGAAGAAGAATATCAAGATGATGGATACCACATCAACGTTAGACAAAATTCTGGACTCTGGTAGAAATCCAAATGATAAAAAGGGTCTTGGATTCGAACGAGGAGAATCTTTGAATAGTGCCCCTATGTTCATCAAAGAGGGTATGTCAACTGCTACATCAGTTCACAATTTTGAATGAGGACAGTCATCCCTGTCAGTTCAGAAAAATGAAAAAAGGAAGGTATATGATCGAACTGCAGATACTGACTTCGGCAGAGTAGCACCTCAATCTCAGTACTCAAAGTTCAAAAATAAGTTTGTCAGAGTCAGACAATACACTCCCATTTGCCACTACTGCCAAACAAAAGGTCACACTCGACCTGAATGTTACTCCTTCTACAGAGATCAAAGAAAGGAAAAATATCAGAACAAGACTATTACACCGTTCACAAGACAGGTTTGGGTCAGAAAGTCAGAAGTTATATGCTATCCCACTATAGTTCTGAGTGCTTCTACGACTGAAGCTAGATGGTATTTTGACAGTGGTTGTTCCAGGCATATGACTGGAAATATAAAGTGACTTATGGCTGTTCAATCTAGCAGTGGATCTGTTACATATGGCGACGGGAAAAATAGTTGGAAAAGGTACCCTGAATGTACCAAGTTTACCTCACTTAGAAGAAGTTTTGTTAGTCAGTGGTCTGAAAGCAAATCTGATTAGCATTAGTCAGTTGTGTGATCAAAACTGGAATGTGTGCTTCGATCGTAACTGTTGCAGAGTCAGTGACAAAGCAGATCAATTAGTCATGGAAGGAACACGATCCTCAGACAACTGTTATGTTTTGATAAATGAAAATGCTTGTCACCTATCAAAATCTGATGAATCAAAACTCTGGCATAGACGACTGGGTCACATAAACTTCAGAGATATGGATAAACTGATCAAACTAGAAGCTGTGAGAGGAGTACCTAAGATCAGAATTGAACAGGAGAGAGTTTGTGGTGCATGTGCCATTGCGAAACAGATAAGGACTCCTCACAAAGCCGTAAGAGCTATCACTACTGAGAAATGTCTAGAGCTTGTTCACATAGACCTCATGGGTGAGATTATTGTTTCTCTACCTTTGTACATTGGATTATGATTTAGTGGATTGGACGCTTATGTGATCGTCCCCCAGACGTAGATACACACTGTATCGAACTGGGTAAACATCTTGTGTGTTGCTTTGTGTCGTTATCTCTTTCTATAAACATCTCAATAATCTGCCTTACTGACTGACTTCATCGTTGAATCAGTCAGTCCATTTCATTAGTTGGATAATCCAGTTAATTTGATTAAAAATGAGGAAATGCAAAATTACAGGAAGTGTTAGCAATCCTCCGGGAATTTGCTGATATATTTGCATGGGGGCCCGAGGATATGCCCGGGATTGATTGAACGGTTATTTGCCATCGGTTAGCTGTAGACCCTGCTGCTAAACCGATTGTCCAGAAGACTCGACATTTGTCCTCCGATCGCCGAGAGTTTGTTCGAGAGGAGGTGAAGAAGATGGCTGCGATCGGGCACATTCGCCCGGTCCCGTATCCCGTGTGGGTGGCCAATATAGTGTTGGTCCCTAAGCCTCCATCCTGGAGAATGTGCATTAACTTCACCGATCTGAACAAAGCGTGCCCATTGGATCCCTACCCCCTGCCGAGCAATCATCAGATGGTCGATGAAACGGCCGTGGACGAGCTAATGAGCTTTATGGACGCCTTCAAGGGTTATCCAAATTATGATGAGCCATGAAGATGAGAGCAAAACGGCGTTCGTCACGCCTGATGGTTTATATTGCTACCGGGTCATGCCGTTCGGCCTACGCAACGCAGGAGCAACATATCAGCGCATGGTCAACATGCTCTTTGAGGACCTGCTAGGCCGGACGATGGAAGCTTACATCGATGATATGCTGGTGAAGAGTGGGGACCGAGAGGACCACACCCGGGACCTCCGACAGTGGTTTCAGATCATGCGAACGTACCAACTACGTTTGAACCCGACCAAATGTACATTTGCTGTGCAAACCGGGTAGTTTCTCGGTTATATGATGACGAAGAGGGGAATTGAGCCCAATCCCGCCAAAGTTAAAGCAATCGTCGACATGCAACCGCCCACAACCGTCCGGGAGGTTCAACAATTGACCGGGAGATTGGCAGCCTTGAGCAGATTCCTCTCGAAGTTGGCCGAGCGCGCTCTACCTTTCTTCAAGGTGCTCCGCAAGGTCAATGGATTTGTGTGGGATGAGGAATGTCGAGCGGCTTTCGATGAGCTGAAAGGGTACTTAATGTCCCCAATTGTGCTGTCTAAACCTGAGCCTGGAGAAGCACTTG